ACTATGAAGGGTTTTATTAGATTTAGAAATTTTAGTATCTTATAATTGTGAACATATTTTGTATGCCTTTCCTTAGTACCATATAGAATATAAAAAAATTGGTTTATAATTTTTCCATCTAATACTGTAAGACTTTCATATGTATATGTAAAAAGTTATAATTTTGAGCTCAAAGTTACAAAATATGCAGGAATTAAATCATCTGCTTATGCATGGACCAAATTACACACAGAAGTCGGTGTTGTGTTTAAAAGGGTACTTCAAAGAGACTTTAGTATAATCTGCCTTACAGACAAGAATTTGTATTTTGTGTTTGAAACAGAACACAAAATAACACACACACAGAACCCTTCGTTTAAATGTTTACAAGAAAATAAATGAGCATATAAGATAGTGACAGGAATCTGCCATTCAATGATAAATGGCTGAAAATATACTCCTACTTAAATTTCATCCTAAAATGCTACCAAAGTAAAAGTGAGAAAGCCACTGTACAAAGAGAATAGATAGGCGTATCAACAAATTTTGGAGGATAGAAAGAAGATGAAGGATTGGCAAATAGACTAACAGAAAGGAAAAATCTAAAACTCATGACCATGCATGGGAGAATTTCAACATATAGATTTGACCTATAAAATTCTCTGCAAGTTGGGACCAGCAGATGGCATAATGGTTGCATCTCTAGACTCCCAAATAGTTGACCATGGTTCAAGTCCTGGACTGGGTGGCTTAAAACTCATGCCACTATGTGTGTATGTGTGCCCAAAATCCAAAGAGGAGACTGGAGGAGAAGGGATTATGGTATGGCCATTCCCCAAAGGGGATAATTTCTAGCTTTCTGTCTCTCTGTCTCTTCGGGGATCGCACATTTCTAGCTTTCTGTCTCTCTGTCTCTTTGGGGATCTCAAGTGCCCTAGAGCAAAAAAATCTCTTAAAAACAAAACAAAAAACTCTCTGCAAGTCAAGATTTAGAAGTGGAAGAGTGTGTGAGATAGAGGACTAAAAGCTAGACTACATTGAATACTCTGATTAAGGAACAGTTAGATTGTCCCTGGGTCTTTCTTTGTTTCATACACTGACTTCACCAGACAGTCTAGCTCATGAGGTACAAATGGGCACAAGCAAATTGAATTCTCATAGGAGGATTAAAATAAAATCAGCATTCTGAAAAAAAAAGAATACCTGAATACTATGTTGCAAGACCATAAGCTCCTTCCCAAGTCAGCTTAAGAATGCTTGGTCTGGTGCCTACCCCATAAAAGGACTGGAAGACCCAGTGTGAGATGTAGATTCCTACAGATTGAGCATTTAGAAGGCAGCACTTAGTCTTTATTGCATAAAAAAGACACCAACTGACTAACAAACTAATAAATAACAAACTGCCCACCAAGTTTTAGTTCCTCCTCATTGATATGAAAGGTCAAATCAGAAATCACCAGACTTTTAAGAAAATACTCAATTGGAAAGACAGATTTAGAAGTGGAAGAGTGTGTGACGTAGCTGACTAAAACAGTAAAACATCTATAAACAGTTAAATATCTTCAGAGCAATACCACTGGATATTTGCAATGCTAGGAATGCTCATCTCCATCTTTGCTCTGTTCAGTCTTCTGCATCATTCACCGAACCTTGTTCCTATGCAAAACGCTAGGAGATAGCGTCTCTTAATGCCATATCTAAAGTAGTGTTATCCTTTCCTTACCACCACCCAATTCTTGGCTGTTCTATTATTTTACTTGAACTTATATTTATCACTTACATAAATCCCTACACAGATATTTTGATATACTTTTACTTGTTTTTATCTCTCTTATCCCCAAATGAACTCTCATAGGGCAGGGTCAGAATATTCTCTATGATACGTAGTAGTCCCTTAATAATAATTTTAATATTATTTATACATCGTTCATTCGCTTAGATTACAATAGCAGTGTTCCTGTCATATCTCCCTATTGTTAACAACTCAACACTTGATTGAGTGACCAAGTGAGTGCTTATTCACATCTTGGTTTCCTAGGTCACTAGCTACCATTTTCATTTTTTGGCTCTTATTCTTCACTTTTGTTTACAATGGTATGTGTGTGTGCCATTGGAACAGGTTCTTTTTTTGACAATAGTTATGAACACTCTGGCCACCACAGTTCTAATGGGCAACAAACTCAACTTATATTCAATGCTTTCTTTGAAGCTGTTTCTTAGCTACTGTCCTTGTGTGCTGGGACTAAGGGATTTCCAAGGACAAGGAACTTTCACTGTGAAAGCTGAGTTTCAGGTATAATGGGATACTGACCTTTCTGAATCCCTGCCAGGTCATACAGCCAACAGCTGTATCTCAGTGCCAGGCTTTGGTCCCTGTTTGAGATAATGACTACCCTGACAAAGTCATCCCAATTGTTTACTGATATGTCTAGCTTTACATGAGCACAAAGTCTTTCAACAGATAAGAAATAATAATGAAAATAACCACGTGTACAATTTCAGAACATCCTCCTTACCATGTTTTTCAAATGGATTCATATGGCTGGTTATAACTTTCTGTGAGAGGGATTTATTAAGACCTCAAATGACTATCTACATTAAATATCACCAGCTATTAGGGGGCCAGACTATGTTTCTGTTGGACTGTCCAAATCTGCTTGTCCTTACAACTTTCACAACACTTAGTCTTGTGTTGGCTGTCATTTTAAATCCATTTATTTTTCTTCATAGGATGCAGGAACTTATTAAATTAACAAGATTTGAAGAAAAATAGAAAGAATTATCCCCTTTTCTCATAATTGCTCTCATGATTGCTGCTGATAAACATGTTCTGCTGCTGCCAAAAAATATTGGATTGTCGAAAAGTCATAACTTTTTTTTTCTGTTTTTCTGTTCAAATATGCATCATGACTTTTATGACAACCCAATACATGGTAGATCTATTTTTGTGGCTACTCTCAGTAAAAAGTTATGCAAAGCCACTTCAGTTCTAAAAATAGTCTCTTTTCAGAAATTGTCTGTCCAGCTTTATAATAAAAATCCAAATTTCATTCAAAATTAAATTGAATTCTTATTGGAAATGATTTTCTGCTCATTCTTTGACTTCTTCTGTCTTTACTAACCTATCCCTTTCCTATCTTACAACTATTTTTGTTAAGATTTCAGACATCTTCTTTCCCCCATATTTGAATTACAAAAAGGGAAAAAGAGATAAAGGTGCAGGAAAGCTATATAGGTACTAACAGAGTTTGATGGGTAATAAAATTGACTCTTTCTCACGACACTTTTCTGAATTTTTCAGAGACCCCAAGTTGCATTAAATAGCTCATCTATAGGTACATGACTTTGATGGTGCATTTCCCTGCTTTCTCTCTTATACTCCCTCTGAGATACTAGGAATATGTGGCGGTACAGATTCTGCCATTCTTCCCCCCACCAACTGATCTTCTGCAAAACAAGAGGAAAAACCTATGTTAGCTCTCTTCATGAGGGCCCAAGTCTGTTCTCAAGGATCACTACCTCACACCATCTTGTCAAGCAACCTACTTTCATTCCAAATGGTACCTAATTTTTGTTGGGCAATTTAACTTCAGTCACAGACTTTATTTTGAGATTTATCAATCCTGAGTCAGACACTAGTTGCTGTGTCTCTCAGGATCCAAGGGATACATGGAAGCCTTTCTCACTAGGCTTGAGTTATCACCTCATTCTCACCATACCCAGCCATTACTATGGAGATGATGGAATTGATAGCACAGCTTTCTCCAGAGGAATCTTCCTTCCAATTTCCAAATTTCCTGGCCATTTCAGCTCAGACCTTTTGCATCTCCATCAGTGATTGGCTCAAGGTCACAACAGTAATTTATAATGTTTTGTAGGCATGGTCTCCCTGGTCACTCTAGCACATTTTCGGAGTGAGTAATTAGTACCTATTATCTTGTGACCCCAGCTATCATCGAGACTGAAGTAGTTCCATTTCCCACAGCTGACCCTCTCTCTTGGGATTCATCTTCACTCATGATTTCCTGAGTAATGGAATGTGTTTGATGTGCTCCCTTTAGTCATTCTCTTCCTGGAATAAACTACCTTTTATTGCATTTATGGCTGTGTGTCTGTCATTGCACATGATGAACTTCATCTAAAGAGTTGTTGACTTATTAGCTCCATCTTGGAAGAATTTGCTAATGATAGTTCCTAAGAAATATTGTAATATTCCCTAAGAAATATTATGACCAATTTCACAGTAAAAGTTAACAAGATTGGCATTAATATGCTAAAATAGTAGAAAGGGGGGAAGCAGTAATATTGAGAAAAGATATTTTAAATGTTTGAACTAGTGGAAACATTATGTTAAATGTTGCAGAACTAAAGTACAGTTTTAAAATTTTAAACATGTAGACTAGCCCTGTAGCCTAATAATTATGGAGGCCAGATCCCACATGGCTAACCAGGGTTCAAGTCTGGACCCATTAGTTTGAGCAACATGCTGAGTATATGTGCATGCATGCCCAAAATCCCAATAGGGTGAAAAAATGGAGGAGAGGAGATTGCTGTGTGATCATATCCCACTGAGAGATGCTTTCTCTCTCTCTGTTTCCTTCAGGTGCATGTACCCTCTGAAAATTATATATATATTCAAAATGTGCAAAAAGTAAATACAATGAGGGTGAGCAAAAGGACAGTAGATTTATAATAGCATATAATTCACTTGATAAAACAGTTTAAATCATTCTTATTATAATACTTATGAGTCTTAAAAATAAGGACTCCTTAATGTTACAGTTGATATGAATCATTGGTACTTTTCTAATAAATTTGTAATATTTATGTTATTATAGTTAGGTAAGTCTTCTTAAGCAGAAGTCATAGACACATTTGTAGATGCCTATGTGTTGCCTGTAAAATATAGTATGAGTAAGTTTTAAAAACCCACGTTTCCAAAGGGGACATTCAAACAAAGTCCCAAATAGCTTCTAACATTTATAAAGTAATTCTCATCCATTTAAATTACTTTTTCGCAGGAAACAGACCTTATCCTGACTTTTAATATTTCAATGCACCGATCTTGGTGGATGGAGAATGGACCAGGATGTACTGTGACGTCAGTGACACCCGCCCCAGACTGGGCCCCAGAAGACCATCGCTACATCACAGTTTCAGGGTGTTTTTTGGAGTACCAGTACATAGAAGTGGCTCATAGTGCCCTACAGATGGTCCTCGCAGTAAGTGTTGACAGCCAACCACTCCTTCTAGTACTTCTGGAATTGTTTTATTGCTGTGCAAACTCAGTGCACACAAATGGAATCTGTGGGTATTGGGGAGGCCTTTCTGCTTGTGCCTAATCAATGCCACTCTTACTAGAAATTTCTCAGGTTAAACCCAAGCCACCCTCTGGACTGAGTGTGCTGAATATTTTAACAAACAGTACATGGCCTTTGGTATCATCAGCCTTTTACACAGAAAATCCATCCAGTTAATATTTGATAGTTTGGCTTTTGGTATGCTTTTCCAAGGATTCTGGAAGGAAGATCAGAGGATTTTCACATCTATCATTCCCAAACTGAAGAGATTTTAATAGATATTTTTTCACCCAGTGCTTCTTTCACCTGTGCTGCTAGTCCTGAGATAGCTCTTCTCCATTTCTCCTCTCTCTTTTTTTCCTTCTTTCTAGATTTCCCCCATGGGCCAATCATTACCTTTTATCCCTTCCCCATTTTTTAAAGAAAAATTCAGCATCCATACATTCTACTTCTAGACCTTCATGTCCCCATTTTTCATAATAGTGTACCAATAAAGAACCCTTCTACAGAACACAGTATGCCTATGTTAGATACAATATGTTATTTTCCATTGTATTACTATGGCAAAGAGAGAAATACAAATACCATGTTCTCAGAAAGTACCTTAACTAAGACCAACTGCATAATATTTATAAAGTTAGGGCAACTTTATTAACTGAATCCATTTATTCATTACAGATACCAGATGTTCCAAAACATGTATATTTTTCTTATATTTTACGTAGATCTGCAACATATGTGCAGAGTCGTAAAATCCTTAGCAACTAATAAGGCAAATCAAATCTGCTTTTTACCACTTTCTTTAGTTAATTAATTTGGTGATGATATTGAGTCACAATTTTTGAATAATAAGAAATAATAGTTCTGGGTAGAATGGTGCCACTTTGTTTATATAAAGTTTTTCTTGAATTAAAAAGAAAATCTATGTGAGCATGTGTTTGTGTGTGCATGAGTGTTATGTGTTCGATTATTTAACTAATATATAGTTATTAGATTTTAGTGGAATATATATAAGGTTGTTGAGCAAGTCATGCTGTATTTATCCATGTTTTTCTATGCAACGATGCATCTTGACTTTTTCAATGACATAATACCTGTTATAATAGAGTAACTACACACTTCTTAAATCACTGTAACTAAAAACTACAAAGGTTGCTCTGTGTGTCAGAAGAAGGTTCTACTAATCACTTTCACTAAAAGACCAAGACTAGGAGAGTAGCCATCATCTTAATTGTCATAAGTTGCCATGCCAGAGAACAAAGACAGCTGTGTAAGGTCGACATTGGCACATTGATGCACCTGCTTGGGAAAAGAGCACATTGTTCCTTATTTACTGTCCATAACTAGTCATATGGTCTCACCAAATTACAAAATGAACAGAAAAGAGTGAGAACTCTATTTGAAAATCAACATGAATGATTTCTAGGATATTTGAATTGTGTTCTTGACTAAAGTACTGGATGATCTCCCTTGAAGATGTCTGACCTGAGACATTTCCTCAAATAAACAAAATCTTCTATGATACTTTTATACTCTAAAGCTTAACTTGGTTTATCTTGAAATAAAGATAAGTTAGATTTGATGAGATAGAAATGGCCATTTGGTTCTTTAATATCCATTTAAATCAAATATTCATTCTCACCTGGGAAAAGCAAAATCTTTCTCAGATTTGGAGACAGATAAAATGGCTATGTGTGTGTGTAAAAGAAGGATTTTAAACAAAATTTTCTTTCTTTGGAACTCACCTTTTCTACTGTACCCACAACCTTTTGGTAAACCTCTAGCTATGTTTAAAGGAATATATGACAATATGTGTATGCATAGTCATATATGACCATTGTAACAGCTATTTGAATGGGTAGGTATGTATGTATAAAGTATATTAACAGATTTATTAAATTTTACATAAAATTTTGGCTCCCAGAGAATTTGCTAAAAAAGTACATTAGCTATGGAAGCATATGTTGGGGGTGATGTACTTCCCAAAGAATAAAATATTTCTACATAAGTAAAAACCGTCTATAAAAGCAAGTTGACCAGAATGCAAAAAAGGTGGATGGAGTATCCTTAAGAGCAGATGTGACTGATATTTCAGGCTACTGGTTCTTGTTTTTCCAGTCTGCATTTTTCCCAGTAGAGTGGAAAAATTGCTTGAACAAACCATCACAAAATGTGGCCTTACCTCTCTCTTTTTTGCCTGGTTTTCCTTCTTGGGCTAATTGGGAGTGTGGAGAGGTTGGGAAGGGTCTTTTTACAATGCTGACTGCAGAACACCTGAGAGTAAGTTAGCAGCTGCATGTAAGCCATTACTTGGAGAAGTTTCAGCACACTTTCCACCTTTGAGCTTGCTATTTTCTAGCCATTCTTGGGCTGAAAACAGCTGCTGTACAGAAAACTTAACAAATTTTAGTGTTTTTAAATGCAAACCAAAAAGGGGCTTATCTTGAACAATTTACTTCGTCTAGTTCTTGGAAACCCTCCAAATAAACTTTCTGGTAGTCGTGCTTATCATGTCTGCTATAAAGATAAAGTGATGCATTCTTGTCTGGAATCCCTATTCTTCCTCTTCATGTTACCCAAATCATCACTGTGACAATAGATTGCCCAGCGCTATCCAGTCTATAGTGAACATTTCCTGAGTGTTTGTCCCTGTTAGCATCAAGGAAGTCAAAGATGACATGATTTCTGATCTTGAAGGCATTGTAATAAAAAAGATGGAACAAGGTTCCTCAGAGTACAAACCAAGTGCAAACAGGTACATTATGGGAATGTCGTAGACAGAGAATAGACTTGCAATTTACAGCAAGATCTTGGCTTCTTGGTTCCACCCAAGTCAGCTAAACTCTCACTCTTCTCATCGTTTTCATCAGGCTTTGAAACTGCTCTCTCTTCCAGGATATCTGGCTCAGATTTGCTTTCATAAACTATTGCTCTCCCAGCCACTGCTCTTGATTAACTCCAAATAGCGCCAGCTATTTTTTTCCACTTTCACTCAGCCTTGCTTTCACAGATTCCTGACCCTAGGCAGCATGCCTGTCACCCTGTTGTTCGGTTTTCTGCCAGTCAACTTCAGGCAGATTTTGAAATTAGCATTCATAAAGCTCACATTTGCATCACACACACATAACATATCTCCCATCTACAGCCAAAGGAAGACAAGTATAATATCCATATAATTGAGAAGAGGGACTATTAATCACCCAGCCTCCAGCCGAGCAGAAAGGACTGCCAGAACAGTAATGATGAGCCAGGTGTGAGATTTCGAGCTTTCTCCTCTTCCAGCATCCTCTTCTTCTAGTTAGTATCAGATATCTCATTCACAAAGGGAACACAGGTGTGCATAGTCTTAATAAGTCCAAACATTAAAGAAAAAAACCTACATTTACAAAATAGATCAAATAAATGTGGGTGGGGAGAGTGAGAGAGATCAACTAGAGAGATGGTGTTATTCCCATTACAAAAGAATTAATCGGATTTCTTCAAGCAATGCTTGATTGCAACTGCACAGATTACAAAATATGTTCAAATGAATTAAATCTTCTGACTCGATAACTGTCCTGGGAGGGCAGCAGAACAAAGCAAAAATATTTCCTAAGGTGTTTTAGCTACTAAATAGGGACAGTGGACATACTCTCATACAAAAGGGAAACAGTTTTTAATATGAACACTGGCAACAACTAATGGGAAGTAGAGTACTGAAGTCCAGATATTTAGAGTCATTTAATGGTATAAATGACACTATTGATTAGTTATGTCTGCAATGCATAAGGAGAATGGAGATACGCACATGTGTGGCTCATATTTATTATGCATATATTATACTTCACTTCCTGTACCCACCACAATGAAAAGGGAGTATATTTTAGAAGTGAATGTGCATAAATGATTCTTTAAGGGAAAAGAGTTTTTATAATAACAAAAGTAACTATATATGTTCAAATATATGTTAAGACTTCAAATAATTTATTGACAGATAAAACCTTAATTCTCCCTTCTGTAACCACATCCAGAGAATCAATATTTCTAATTTAATGTGAATCTCTGCAACTTGAAATTGCTTATTTTTGTTTTCCATTATTTCCTCTAATATACCTCTTATTCCCGAGATATGTCTAAGTTCATGGTGTGTTGACTATTAACTTTTTTTTTTTTTTTGAGAGGTTTTTGCTATAGGGCACATGCGCTCATCAGAAAGACAGAGAGAAAGACAGAAAGTGAGAAATCATCCACCAAGGGGGACAGTCATGCTGCAATCCCTTCTCTTCCATTCTCCTCTTGGGATCTTGGGCACACATGCACACACACCCAGCATGAGTTTAAGCCACTGGTTCCAGGACTCAAACCACGGTTGACTACATGGGAGTCCAGCGACGTAGCCATTATGCCAACTGCTGGTCCTAGACTATTAACTTTTTTGAGTCTAGTAGAGATATTGGTGAAAATGGAAGTAAGCTTACTGTTTCTCTCAGCCATTAAAACTGGCTTAGAAATAGGATATAAATTAGCAAGGAAGTCATATTAATAGAAAACTTCTGAACAGTATGAGACCTGGTGCACAGCTGGAGCTAGAAATAGGTCGTTGTCACATTTATACTTTGGTTATATCTGCTCCTTGTTCAGAAAATTCCACACTTTATACAGTGCATGAAATGATGAAAATCATTGTGCAGTAGATTATAGTAAAAAAAAATTGTATATAAGGCCTAGAATGGACATTCAGTTGCATGCTAGCCTACAATACTGGAAGCCACATGGCCAACTGCCTGTTCAGATTCCCTGTCCAGTCAATCTGAAACATGTCAGGTTTACAAACATGTACTTAGGATTCTGATGAGCTGGAGAACTAGAAGAAAAGGATAACTACGTGGCTGGACCCCTCAAAGGTGCTTCTCTCTCTTTCTCTCACATGTGCATGTGTGTGC